TTATGGTTTATTAATATATTATAAGAATAATATATTAAAAGAGAAATCATATTGTTTTAATTAATATTGGTCAAAATTTAATTAAGAATTAATTATGTGGCTAAAAGAGATTAATTAATTAAAGGGGACTGGTATTGCCAATTATAATATAATTGGATTTGGGCTGTGGATCCTTATGGATATAAGGGGGACGAAATTAGGGTGGAAGCCCACCAAGAAATCATCCAAGCCTTATTCCAGAAGGTTCCTTGGACTGCTTAAGGCCTAAGTTATCCAATTAGGGTTTTGGCTGAAACCCTAGCAGCTCAAGTATATAAGGACCCCTAGGGCTACAGAATTCGGCTACCAAAAACCCTAAGAAGTTCTTAGAGCCGAAATTGTGACTTCATTCTCTCTCTTCTAGATCATCTTATTGCCTTGGTGTTTGTAAGCCATTAGAGGTATTACACTTGTGATACTAGGCCCTCAAAGCTAGAAGATTCTTGCAACAATCAAAAGGTAAACATCTAAATCTGTTTTATATGTTATTTCGATTTTGATATGCTAGATCTAGGGTTTGTAAGCTTTGGATAAATTTGCTTGTACAATACAGAAACCTAGATCCAAAGCTTCAGGGTTTTGCATGTGCACATAGGAATGTTCTTTTGCTCAAAACCCATTAGTGGTATCAGAGTCTTGCTTGGTTTCTATTGTATTTGATGCATTGTGTGTTTATTCATTGCTTGAAATCATTTTTCCTGCCATCTGCCTGACAAACTCGTCGAGTCCCAAAGTGAACTCGACGAGTCAGATGACCTCGGCGAGTTCTGTAAGGGACTCGGCGAGTCGGGCTGTTAGACAGATAGATTTTCGGGAGTTTGGCTTATTTTGACTTAGGATAATTACCAAAACTGTTTTTAATTAATAAAATCCGATTTTTATTGATTCCATATGATTATCCTTGTAAAAATAAAAGATATTTATCAATTAATTAGATAATTATTGCCTTATTTGATAAACCTTAATTATTTGAATTATTTGATCAATTATCTTGCATGAAATTGGATTAGGTCAAAATTAGAAAATCACAAATTAAATGTTTAATTTTATTATTTGAATTTTGATCTAGATAGTTTTGAAATGTTTCAAAAACTTGCCCTCAAGTTTTGAGATTTCAATTTTTTGGATTAAAAGTTTAATTTTGAAATATTTAAATTCTAAACCCTAGAATTTTACAAGTTTAAAATTCACCCCTATACTATTATAATATTATAAGAATAATTATTATATGTATAAGCAGTGTTGTAAAACTCGCCGAGTTGGCCGATTACTCCTCCGAGTACTCGCTACTCGACCCCTTACCGATGCGAGTTAGAGAATCCCGAGTACTCCCTGATCAACCCCTTACTGAACTGAGTAGTGTTGTAAAACACGGTCAACACGGTGATTAATATGTATAATATACTTAATGATTTATTATTCAACACACATGTGTTTGAAAACTGGAAAATAAATACAATTTTTTTTTCATAGAACAAATTACGAAAATTGTCCCTGTGTTTGTAAAAATTTCACGTTTGGTCCTATTGTTTTTTTTGCACTCGAACCGTCCTTATAGTTTGTTTTTGTTGCGTTTTTCATTCCTGGCCAGAAATGACATTTTTGCTCCTTATTTTTTCTTTTTTAGTTTTTTTATTTGTCATTATATAAAAAAAATAATTAATAAATTTGTGGGCTCACTCCCTACTACAAACACAACCCATCTATCTCATTTAACCCTTTCATCTCTCACATCTCTCTCTCTCTATGTCTGTCTTTCTTCTCTCTCTCTTTCTCTCTCTCTCTTACACACACAAACACACACACAGTTGCAAGTTCAAGAAATAGAACTTAAGCCTTTGGACCTTCGCTCAGCACTGCCAGATCTCCGTTCACCACCGTCGGACCTCTGCCCAACACAACCGGACCGCCTCTGGAACCACCAGAATGATGCCGGTACACCGTATCGACTCCGAAACCCACTGAAAAACCATTGACCACCGTATCTACGTTGTAACCAGCGGATTGACCTCGAAACCAACAGATCGACACCTCTATCTTCCTGTTGGAAACCATCTTCACTACCATCTACTCTGTCTGTAAGGGTTAAGGGAGGCGGTGGTTCTCTCTACTCCGTCTTCCTCCCTTCTGGAACTGAAAGGCCGCCACCCATCACCCACTATTAATGCCTTACTCTGGCATCGTTGACTCATTGTTTCCCAGGTTCCCTAATCTACAACGTCAGAGAAGCTTAAGTAGAAGATCGTTGCCGCCTACATTGTGCTAACACCACCGATCTACAGTCAATAGTACCGATTTTAAACCACAACCGATTTGAAACCACTAGACACCTGATCGTGTTTTTTTAATCTAAAACATTTGATGTAGGTTTGTTTTTAATTTTAATTCTAGTTTAGGTTGGTAGTGGTGGTGTTTAATGGAAGGGGTGGTGGCATTTGATGGCAGTAATGGTGGCAATGGTGTTTGCAAACCAGATTCGGATATGTTGGCGGTGTTCGATGGTAGTTTGCGGTGGTTTGATGACACAAGTGGTTGTCGAAGCTTGTCGGTGGTTGCTGGTCTACTGATTGTTGTTGGGTGGCACTAGTGGTGGTGGGAGTGAGTTGGACTAGGTTTCATAAATTGATAACTTATTTAATTTACTTTTTTTAAAACATTTATAAATAACAAATAAAAAAAACTAAAAAAGAAAACATAAAGGACAAAAAAGTCATTTCGTGTTGGCCAGGGACGAAAAACGCAACGAAAACAAATCATAGAGACGATCCGAATGCAAAAAAAAAAAAAATAAAATAAAACCAAACGTGATTTTTTTGCAAACTACAAGGACGAATTCAATAATTTGTTCTTTCTTATATGGTATTCAACTTTCTAGAAACTATCATTTATGTATTGAAAAATAAATAAAAACCATTTTCTAAAATTGTTAACCGAATACTATAGAAGGTATAACCTAGTATCATTTTATATTTTCGACCTATAGCTATAACTATTAATTCCACCAAACAGTCTAATGTTAATAGTTATAATTCACATTTACAACTGACTTTTACGAACATATATTATTTTTTCGAAAAAAAAATCATCAACGTATAATCTCCCGTTTGAACTTGATTAGGTTATTATATTTTGTATCTAACTCATGTTTTTTGTCAGGAATAACAGATTTTATTGGATTTAAATACACAACACGATTGAATATTTAACCATACCAAAGCTGTAATTATCCTAGGAAAAAAAAAAATACTATGTGAGACACGTGCAAGTCAAAATAGGAATGGTCCCTACTTCTAGAAGAAGCTCCTACATGTTCACCCACAAGTCGGCCAGCCAAGACAAACACGCCCCCGTTTCTGTGTCAAACTAAACATCCCCACCCGGTTACCCCTGATA